ACTGACTCCACATGCATTTGGGTTGCTTTATTCCCTACTTGGCACCTTATACCGCATAGCTTTTAGTTCTTTGTGTTATAAAGCTGTAATACATTAAGACTATGGCAGTATATGGATTCAGTGGACTAATCAGATAGTTCTTATGCTCCTGTGATAGCAGAGAGACTGGGCTTGATGACTTTGATGGATCTGACAGCAACCTGCTCCATGAAACTGTGACTTCTCAGTTACACTTGAGATTTGGCTCTTATTCTCCTAATGAAATGATTTGAGAACCTGGACCTGAAATAATCACTTGTGAATGCAGAAGATGAGGGCACAGGCAGAAAATTTATGAGGCTGACCTCCTCTCTGTGCCAGCTTTTAAAGATCAGAAGGAGAGCAGAGCCATGCTGAAATGGTCCTGGCTTACCTTAATCCCCAAGCAGAGCTCAAATCAGAAAGGACTGGTAACAGTGACCACATGTGGTCTTCCAAATTCCCTGCTAATAACTGAAAGAAGAACTGAAATAAAGAAGCTTGAGTGGCCATTGGCAATTTTTATGATACAAAGACCTTAGGTGTAACAGCTATAAGTACTAAATTGCTCACAATCAGTTTAAGGAATCAGATATTCTTTTGCACTTCTCAAAGCTTAGATCTGGGCACTGATTTCTCCAGCCAAAGGGGAGAACAGATAATCAACAAATTGGATGGTCAATTTGTCTCTGTCACAAACCTCACACTAAGCCAGGTCTACTCGTTTCATCACACTGTTGCAGTGAGGTCACACTAACTAACAATGAGTGCTCCATAATTTAAATGACCAGTTTGAAGTCAAGTTGTGTAGCTTTTCAAAGAATGTTTCTACTTTAAAAACAGAATGTAACTTACAGGATAAAACTCTGAAAAAAAGGGGGGAAGAGCTTTCCTGCCAACAACTCTCAATATTTAGCAGTATCATCCACAGAGACCTGAATTTTGTAGCCAGTCAATACTGAATATTATGCAACCTGTGAACTTCAAGATCCTGCTGTTCCTGTCTTCCACTGCTGACGACAGCAGACAGCAAAACAGAGCTGCAAATTCCTCAGAAGTACAGCTCACACTGCTGGCTCTTTTCAGAGCTCCGCGTCGCCTCCAGCTCCCCCTTGTTAATGGACTTACTGCAACCGTGCTCTTGGCAAGGCTGTCAGAGCCAACTGCACTTCAACTAACCAAGTCTAAAAATGTTTTAAATAAAGCTCATTGACAAGATACTTACTTATTTATTTGCTCAGCTTCATATTTGAAACCTCAGACTGTCAGTGGTAATTTTATTTACCGGCCCCAGAAGAGGTATCAAGACCTATAGGCAAAAAAGTCACACCTTCTCACACCTCTTCAGCAGACCATGCTAGTAGGGACTTTTTCATAATTAAGCTGTCTGAAAATGCCCTCAGAAGAGGATGTCTCATATCATGAGACAGCATGTGCTGCCACTCAGAGGGGCACATGTATACAGTTCCCAACACTGGAAGGACATGGAGCTGCTGGAGTAAGTCCAGAGAAGGGCCACAAAGATGATCAAAGGGCTGGAGCACCTCTCCTACAAAGACAGGCTGAGAGAGTTAGGGCTGTTCAGTCTGGAAAGGAGAAGGCTCCCAGTAGACCTTATAGTGGCCTTCCAGTACCTGAAGGGGCTACAGGAAAGCTGGGGAGGAACTTTTTACAGGACATGTAGTGAGAAGATGAGGGGTAATGGTTTCAAACTGGAAAAGGGCAGATTTAGATTAGATATTAGGAATAAATTCTTTATTGTAAGGGTAGTGAGACACTGAAACAGGTTGCCCAGAGAGCTTATGGAAGCCCCATCCCTGAAATTGTTCAAGGCCAGGTTGGATGGGGCTTTGAGCAACCTGGTCTAGTGGTAGTTGTCCCTCCTTGCCCGTGCAGGGGTGCTTGGAACTAGATTATTTCTAAGGTCCTCTTCCAAGACAAACCATTCTGTGATTCTGTTAAGAGGGACCCATGTATCCCAGCTCAGCACTGTGTCCACCATACAGCTGCAGTGTGTGGTCAAAGCTCCATCAAGTTCATTGAGATTTCAACTGAGACTACCAATTCACAGCTGTGTGGAACAGGTCAGGAACCCAGCCAAGGTCAGACTGAAAGCAAGACACCACAAAATCCTTCAGGTAGGTTGAGCCTGAAATATTTACTGCTTTAAATAATACACAGTGGAGTAATAAGTCCACAAAGTTAGGTCCTACAATGAGATTGTAGGCAGCAGTCTTCTCTCAACAATTTGTCCAGCATAATGCAAATACAGGAATGCATTGTTCTCCAAGAGAAATAAATGCAAAATTACAAGCTTTACAAATAAAGACACTTCCAAAAATGATTACACTGGATACGTCTCCTCAGGAGTAAAAATCCTGCTGCTACTGCCAAGAACTTTTCTACAAAGTGCAATGCCAAGTCTTGGCTCTTCTTCAAATTCTTGCCCTTTTCATTATAGCCAACTTTCCTTGTTAGTGCTCCTTTGGAGTAGTGCTCAGAGCAACACTGACAGACAAAAGCCTCTTGCACCAGCCCACCAGAAGTTAACAGGCCCAATAGTCTATTTTCAAAGTGCTCCTTCTTCAGCTTTCACACAGAGGAAGGTTTATTTCCAAGGAGCTGTCATGTAAAGCCTGTCATATGATTCCTTTGAATTTGCCAGATTGAAGAGTTCTGTAAACAGATGGATTAAGTGACATAGATTTGTAAAAATTTCAAGTACTGCACTTTAATTTGCATACCTATTGTCATGGGAACACCTCATCAAACCCTCCTATCTTCAAAGAAAATTGGCATTGCTACGCCAGAGGCTAAAGGTGTTCAGCATTTCTGAAACAGGAGCACCAATTTTGGTACCTAAATAGTGACTCATCTAATACAGGTCCATAATGTTTTATGTGCAATTCTGCTCTGAAAAGCAATTTTATACAAAGATAGCACCTTTGCAAATAATCAGATCTGCCCTTTCTGCAAATTCAAGGCAATATATACTATGTTTTGGTGTCTAAAATAGTGTTTCCTCCCCTCAGGACAGTGGACTATTTTACGTTTTTATGTCTTGAGTGGTTCAGATAAATCTCTGTCACCCCAACTACACGAGCACATGTAGGACACGAATGGAAGACATGAGGACATAACTCAACAGATAAAACCAGTTTCAGAGGTGAAATATGAAAGAATCCAGCTTAACTGAAACATCTTTGTGTGCAGTCACAGGGCTGCCAGCATGAAATAAAAAATACAAACAAACCAAAGGCCCACTATACTCAGCTCTAAGCTGCCGAGTGTGGAAGTGAAATCTCTAAGATTATACATTTCACACCCCAGTGTTATTTTTATAAGTCAGGTTTCAGAATAGATCTACTTGATTGTTAACTGCTGTATTCAGAGAGTAGAAGATGCTGTAAAGCACTAAACTCCCAAGTTCAGAATCTAGAACATGCACATTAATAAATTCATTATTTTAAAAGCTAAGTCCTTTAAATTTTAGGCAGGATTACTATTTGAAAATTATGCCCTCCATGTAAAAATTGTAAATGTGTTTTATATTTAGTTATTGTATAAAACATATAAAAAATTCCAGCTCCCTCAGGAATCAAGCCGTTTGCCAGCAGGATGTGTCAGATTCTGCCTGCACCAACAGGCTCTGCAGCTGCTGCTCCCCCTCCCAGGGGTTTTCCTGCCCATACTCAGAAAAAGTCAATGTTTTAAAAACAGTATGTTTTTGGAGGTTTCATTTAAATTTAAAAAAACAACACCAACAAAACCAGCAGCTGGAGAGAAGAAATCCTTGCAGTGCATTTGCTAAGGAAGGTGTCGTGGCAGGTCTGGCTTTGTACTATGGGCAGGATGCACATCCCTGGAGCTGCCTCCAGCTTGGTGGGTGTGAATACAGGGGTGGGGTGAGTGTGATGGCAAAGGGAGATTAATTAAAAGGCAGAACAAAGTCCATGGCAAACTGGGCTGCATGTGGCATACATTTGAAATCTTCATTTGTGTTGTTACCATACAATAAAACATGACAGAAACTGATAATTTAATTTTTGAGTCTGGCCTAGCCTGGAGGAAGTGTAGCAGCCAGTTTCTTTTTCTTGCTTTTATCTTTACTTGGTATAATGCTTTGCTTTTCTTTTTCCCACTGTATAGGACAATGATTAATTCATGGATATATGCAGGACATGATCCAAACTCACAGGTAAGTCAATGGGCTCTGCATTAGCAGTACAAAAGCCTTGACATGGAGTTTGTATTTATTTATTCTTAAATCATGTATGAAGCTATTTCAACTCTTGATGACATATGAAGGTATCATACACTCTTCTTTCCAAATGTCTTGAATCTTAACTGCTTTATAGTGAACAATGGCTTATCCTAGCTTCACTTTCAATAGGTGTGTCTGGCTTTGTCTCTTCCTATATAGACCAGAAGGTGTAAGTCCAGAAGCTGCATACCAGCAGCCACATAAATTGCAACGTAAAGAGAGAAGATATAATTATGCAGAGCTGGAAAAAGGTGAAAATAACAAAGAAACCCCAGAAAAACAAAACACCACCACCAAAACCAGCCAACCAGTAAAAAAAAAAACCCACCACCACCAAAAAAAACACAATTAAACCAAACCAAAACCAAACCAAACAAACCCCAAGGAACAATTAAAAAAAAACAAAACTAAAACCCACCAATCAACAAAAAAACCTCAGCAACAATAAAAGAAAGGCAAAAGATCTAGAAAATAACTTAGAAAGGATAAACAAGTTTCAAGTGGAAAAGGGACTTGAAGAATCTCAACAAGAAACAAAACAGGAGGGGAGTGAAAGGCAGCAGAACTCACCATGCTCAAACAGCTGCAATTGAGACAAAGATACTCGGCCCTTGAAACAAAAGTACCTCTCCCTTCCCAAGAACAGGCAGCCCAAGACCTTCACTGAGCAGCACCAAATATCCCCTCCCCGGTAAATATCCCCGTTTTGAAGACCCACCTTCATCCCAGCCGCGGCTGCCGGCCCGCTGGGGTCCACGGCCTGGATGTGGCAGGGTTTGCTGCCCCGCACCACGAAGCCCCAGCCCACCGCGTCACCCACAATCTGGGAAGAGAAAAGAGGGATGTGGTCACCTTGGGGAAGCTCAGTGAAACTCAGGGGGGTAACATCTAAACGTTTCAAGACATAACTTCAACACGTCTATACTTCCAACACGTAGTTCAGGATGGTGTGTATGGGCTGCTGTATCACTCATGGGAAAGGCTCATTGCAAATTATTTTTCTTGTTTTTAATGGACTATTTTTGTTGAAGTGGGAGGCTGTGAAAAGCAATTCTTCCCATGACTAGGTTAAAAAATATCTTTACAAAAAGGCTTCCTGTAACAGAGACTATGCATCAAAATTTCTGTCCCATCACAGTGTAGAAAGACCTAAGTAGAAACCTTCAGTTTGGGTAGGTAATCCACTCCTGCAGTGCAGGTATCACCATGAGCACAAAGTCTAGATGGGTTGGTAGAATACAAATGCTACTGGCTCAATGTAATTTTACACTCCATTGAAGTCAGCAGTACTATATTGGCATAAAGACAGGATAAACAAGTGCAGAAAAAGACCTGAAATGTGTGGAAGTACTGATAATGGAGTTTGGCATTTTAAAGTACAAACCTTAGCAAATGCAAATAAGCTCTAATTATCCCATCAGAGAAAGTCTGTTTGGATTACCTTTTCCATATAACATGCAGATAATAAAGAAAAATACTGGAGACATACCGTAAAAGTTTTTCTTACATATGGTGCTCCAGGCATCAAGAGCTCATCAGCAGTCACGGATCTCTTTAGTACTGTGGAGGTACATGAATGAATATTCAATATAAGCACTCCTCTAGAGTTTTTCCTAACAAATAAGATAAAGTGTTGGGACACAACATCGTTTTGGTCTCACTTCCCATACACTCCTTCAGTTATTGCAGACTTGCTTGATAGTAAAAGCCAAGAAAAAGACAGCAGAATAAATCTGACGACAAATTATGAGATCTTTAGGAAACTGGGGCATTTAGCCAAGAGAATTTTTTGTCTGCAATCAAGATCCACTACACACTATCAAAAATATCAGAAGTGGCTATTCCTGTGTCCACTGTTGAAATAAATGACCAGCCTACCTGGCATAGAGTAGCTTTTCTTACTGGCTCACTCTTTGCATGTTGGGTCTCTCTGCTACTTCATCTGAGTCAGGTTTGAACCACAGGATTAAGTCATAAGAAAAGTCTGCTTGATTCAGGAATTATTCCAACAAAGACATTTCTGCAACTGTAGGCACAGGCATCTAACTCAATTATATCCAGGGACAGCCTAGGTAATCTATAGCTGGCTGGGATTTTCAATGGAATACCAGTGAGTTTCTACAGGTGATTCCCCCTTTCTTTGCCACACAATGGGATAATTTTCCCCTGACCAAACTAAATGTATAGTTATGCCAAACCATTCTGCATGCCAGCTTTTATCTGCCTATAAATGCTTCACAAGATGGAGGACAATGGAAGATATATGTCATTCACCATATTCACCTTCTTCAGCTCTAAAACCACCGCTGCTTTTCTTTTAGTGATAATTAATTTTGATGGTGTCTGCCTTTTCAGTCACAGGTGGAAGATGACATTCCCCACAGATGGTGTTCAAAGACATTAATGAGTTTCTCAATGACATTCATAGGAACAGGGAGAACTCTAGCATACAAACCAGAACATATTTTTTTTTTACTTTCCCATGGATTTTGACAAACTGTCATTTAGCCAGAGTGACACTTTGCAGAGGATGCTTGGTCAACATAAAATACCTGAATGATTATGCACATTCACCAAGTCAGAATAATGTAAATCATCCATGCTGGACTCCCTTGCATGCCTCCCTTCTTTATACCTCCAGACATTTTTTTTTAATTTGCTGATTGTTTTTCCACATGACTGGTTAAGTCACGACCTGGGTTTTGTAAGTGTTTGCCTGCAAGAGAACTCCTCTGACAATAAATATACTTCTGCCTTGTGTTTATTAGCATGCAGTTCAGCAGCATGCTCTGGGTCTGGATAGCAGGAAGCAATTTGTGAAAAAAATCACTTTATAGTTCAGCAGAGGATTAAGAATTTTTCTGTAACTTTTACATCTGACAGCCTTATGCTAACCTAAGTGAGTTGATGTGTGGATCTGTACTTGCACAATGGGAGAAATTACCCTACATCACTGGTAATTGTATAATTCTAAAAGATAAGTCTGTTTATAAGCCCATTGTTGTTTTATTTCAAATACAAGTCTGCTTAAACTATGTCCTCAGGAAGAAGTTATTTTTAAAAATAAAGAATTTATGCAAGTGCAACTTAGGCCTATATTTTTTCTTCCAGTGTTGTGTAATCAGCTGCCTTAAAATAAACTTATTCGCACTACTCATGGGTTGACACTTCATACATAATCAGAATCATAAATGAATGGAATAGTCAGCATACTTCAGATAACACACATCATTATGGACAGAACATGAATGCTGCTTTCTCTGTCCCATAAAATTTTCCACAATGTAATTTTTGATGTACTGGGTCCAAAGGCTCACCATACAAAATCTATCAGAGCATTCCTGGAAAGTATACCTGAGAAACATTCTGCCAAAGTATGGTTGTGTGGCTATCTTCACACAGGGGCAAGCACACTGTGTATAGGGTTAAACATATTACAAGGTGCTGCTCAATGCCCAACAGCAATGTACTCCAAGTATGCAAGGACCAGCAGCACTGAGAGCATTCCCTCAAGCTAGAGAGAATGTCTGGTGTAGGGGGTTATGGCTTCTGCACTCATATTGAGTTCTTCAAACTACTTAAGTTTAGAGCTTCACACTGAATTCCTCGCAGACCCTAAGGAGAGGGAAAGAAATATACTAAAAGAGCATATTTACTATATATACTAAAATAGTGTATATATAGAGAGAGGTGATTGTCCCCCTGTACTTAGCACTGGTGAGGCCACACCTGGAGTATTGGGTCCAGTTTTGGGCACCTCAATTCAAGAGAGATATTGAGGTGCTGGAGTGAGGACAGAGGAGGGCAATGAAGCTGGTGAAGGGCCTAGAGAATCAATCTTATGAAGAACACTTGAAGGAGCTGGGAATGTTTAGTTTGAGGAAGAGGAGGCTGAGGGGAGACCTCATTAGTCTCTACAACTACCTGAAAGGTCATTGGAGAGAGGTTGGTGCTGGTCTCTTCTCACAGGTAATTAGCGACAGAACAAGAGGGAATGGCTTCAAGCTGCAACAGGGGAGGTTTAGATTGGACATTAGGAACAAAATTTTTCACAGAAAGAGTGGTTAGACACTGGAATAGGCTGCCCAGGGATGTGGTTGAGTCACCATCTCTAGATGTGTTTAAGGGTCATTTGGATGTGGTGTTGGTGGATATGGTTTAGGGGACAACTTTGTAGAGTAGGGATGATGGTTGGACTCGATGATCCCAAGGGTCTTTTCCAACCTGAATAGTTCTATGATTCTAAAAGGAGAAAGACAGAATTAAAATATCCTCAAACTATGCCTTTCTTTCTGATGGCCACTCTGCAGAGAAGAAATGAAATGCACACTAGCGCGCTCATCTCCAAAGTAAATTGTCAATGTGTTGAACAGGATACATGTAGAGCTTGAGGAACTGTCTAGTAATCACCTCAAATCACGTCAATCCCTTCTACAGCAAAGCTCCCCACACTGTCGGTAGAGACCCAGTAAATTTGAAATAAGGAGCAGAAAGGGCAGCAGGGACTCTGCTTTGAAATTCAGGGCTGTTTCTGAGATTGAAAAAAAGGCTGAAACAATATCTATCCTGGTCTCTTTTCCCCTTCCCAGATGAAGGGGAAGAAACAATTCTAAGTGAACTGTGGAAGAATGGGTGTGTTTAACCTTCCAGTGTGGGATAGGAAATCCTTTCAAAAGGAAAATAAGCTTCAAAACTACTTTTACCTTCCTAAACAGGCCAGTAAGACCTAAACAAACAAAAATGTTGGAATGGTCCCTGACAGACTGAAACAATGCTGCCTCTTTTATAGAGGCTGCTGTTTTCTCAGTTGTGTTATTTCACAGCAACTGAGGCAGCCACTGGATAGTTAAACTCTCCTCTGACTTGCACCAAAGGAATGTCTCTAGGAGGAGATTTGAATCGGATCAGAACTTGGCAATGAAGAGGCAAATCTGGGACTCTGACTGTATGTCCTCCTAAGAGATAAACTGCAGCTCAAATCACAATGATAGGCTTGAAGCAGAGATTATTTGAGGCAGATGTCTGGCTTGTGTTCAGCA